CATCGATTACATACAATACGTATTATCATTCAAATTACTCCATTCCATCCAATCACCATTGGAGAAATTCTAATCCTTCCTTTCAAGGAATCCAAAACATCTTTTCCCATAATTACGAGGAAACATCCAGGTTCTCACTACCAGGAGTTGGGGGGGGGGTATCCAACAAGGTGTTTTTATTGACATCTCCCTCATTTCATCTGGAAAGCTTTTCATTCGCACGCATCCTGTCTATCGTATCCAATATCCAACATCCAACATCCAACATCCAACATCAAAGATCAGAGATTTCTTTCAAATCATATCAACCGAGTAATCTCTCCCGTTCACGTGCAAATCAAAGGTCAAAAAAGGAAAAGAGAAAAGAGAAAGAGAAAAAAAGAGTGGTTATCAACTACCTACCTACCTATCAAGGTTCTCAAAATTCAAGGGTCCCCATCTCCCTCTCGAGCACGACTTCACACTTTAAAAAGACTTTCCAAAACATACTTTCCTCTTAATCCATTCATACAGATACACCATCACAACCTTTTCGGTCATATCAGATCGATCACCTCTTCCTCTTTCTTCGTCTCTTGAAGTGTCGATCTTGGATCTTCATTCTCTTATACTTCATACACTTGATAGACTACATATCAACTGTTTGATAGTCGATCTACCTTTGTTTCTTCAAGCAACAATTGTCAACGTCGGCAAGACCGCAAGACTGTGATACGACAATTCCTCGAACTATCCATCTTCAAACCAAATCGTCACACTCAAGTCTTCAAGATGACTGACTTCAACCCCAACATGGTCGATCTAGACACCGCTGATCCAAAAGATGTCATCTGTTATCTCGGTCTTGGTGAGAATGAGTACAATGGAAAATTAGGAGCGTAAGTTCTGTCTTTACTTTCTATCATTTCTTGTTTCCTGTTTCTTGTTTCTTCCTTCTTATCATCCTTCATCCTTTACCCTCTATCCTTCTATCCTTTTGAAATCAACTACTAATCAATCTTCATAGTCGTGTCTCTGCTCTCTTTGTTATCTTGATCGTCTCCTCGGCTGCTACCTTCTTTCCCGTCATTGCTGCAAGAGTCAGCTGGGTCAAGATCAATATCTATGTCTACCTCTTCGCTCGTTATTTTGGTGCTGGTGTTATCATCGCAACTGCTTTCATCCAGTAAGTTCTTTTTATTCTCCTCAACAAGTCTTCTCTTCACACAATGAAATCTAACATTTTTCAGTTTACTTGATCCCGCCTATGGAGAAATTGGTTCCGACACGTGTGTTGGAATGACGGGTGGCTGGGCCGATTATTCTTGGGTACCTGCTATTGTTTTACTTTCAGTCTTGTCCATCTTCATGATGGACTTTGCTGCTGAACAATATGTTGATCGCAAGTATGGCTTCGGACATGGTCCATCTATCGAAGATGTTGTCACCAATCAACCAGGCACTAACACGACTCGTCGCGCAACCCTTACACACAATCAACTTCATTCTGGTGATCAAGATCCAAACCTCTTCGACAACATCGCACAAGCTCAAGAATTGAAGGATCACAGCCCTGCATCCAACTCTTTCTCCAACGAAAAGGATGTTGAGAAGATTACAATTTCCTCTGAGATGGCAGAAGAACGTTCTTTCCGTCAACAAATCTGTGCTTTCTTGATTCTCGAATTTGGTGTCATCTTTCACTCTGTTATCATCGGTCTTAATCTTGGTACTGCTGGTGATGAGTTCGCAACTCTCTACCCTGTCCTGGTCTTCCATCAATCCTTTGAGGGTCTTGGTATCGGCGCTCGTATGTCTGCCATTCCTTTCCCCAAGCGTTTCTCTTGGCTTCCGTGGGTTCTTTGCGCAGGTTATGGTCTTACCACACCCATCGCTATTGCCATCGGTCTTGGTCTTCGCACAACTTATAACTCTGGTTCATTCACTGCCAACGTTGTTTCTGGTGTTCTCGATTCCATCTCTGCTGGTATCCTCATCTACACTGGTTTGGTTGAGTTATTGGCTCGTGATTTCTTGTTCAACCCAGACTTGACTCATGATAAGACAAGACTTACATTCATGATCTGTTGCGTTTTACTCGGAACATTTATCATGGCTCTTCTTGGTAAATGGGCTTAACTTCATCTTCTGGATTTGTTGAGCATTTCCTCTGGTGGACGTTGGTTGGTTTCTTATATCGGCGGATGGTTTTCTAGTTGATGGATGGTTTTCATATACCCAAGAAGATTTTACTTTCTTATGCGAGAAAATGAAGTTACACATGTGTAACTTGTATTTAGGGGGAATGGAATGACTGATTTGATGAATGAATGGAAATAAAAGTGAGATTGCATATTTCTACTTTTTCTTTTCAACATAGCATAGGATTTTTACCTTACCTTTCTTTACCTTAGTTTACTGAATGGTTTGATGATGATCATATGAGTTATGACTCATGAAATGTAGTTGAATCCAGGATGAAAGTAATTTAGTAGATTAATAGAGCTGATATTTGCTTGATTTGATTGTGTTATGTATGTCTTTGACTGTGATGTTGTTAATGTGAACTTGAATGTGGTGTGAAGGGTTTTGACTGATGTAGGTACTCGTATTGAAAATGCTATGGATATGAATACAGTGACTATGGGGATAGATTTAAGTGGATGTGCTGCGGCTTGTAACTTGAATGTACTATATAAACTATATAATGCTCGGTTATCGATGGTTATAGTGATGTTGAGATGGCATTTAGTACTGGCGTATGTATGTATGTATGTATGTATGTATGTATGTATGTATATATGTATATATGTATGTATGTATGTATGTATATATGTATATATATATGTATATGTATATATGTATATATATGTATATATATATGTATATATGTATATATATGTATGATTTATAATAATTTGTAATTTGTAATTTGCTATATATATTTTCTTTTAGTATATAGTATATAGTATATAGTATATAGTATATAGTATATAGTATATATTCTATTTGGGGAGTATAATATAAAGAGAGGGGGGGGTTTATTAGGTAATTAGGGGGGTTATATGGGGGGGTTATTGGGGTTGTTTATTAAGGAGAGGGAGTATTGGGAAGTAATTGAGGATTAATGAAGAGTAATTGGGGGAGTTATTAGAGAGGTAATTTGGGAGTTTATTAGAGAGGTAATTGGGGGAGGAAGTGATTGGGGAGTAATTGGGGGAGTGTATGGGAGTTGATTAAAGAGGGTAATTGGGGAGGAAGTGATTGGGGGGAGGTGGGATTGAGGGAGTGATTGGGGAGTAATTGAGAACATAATTAGAAAATAATTGAGAAGTCAATTAAGAAAGGGGATTCAATTAGCGCGTAATTGCGGGGGTTATGGGGGAGTCCTTGGACGTTAGTAGATAGATAGGTAGATGGGAGGGGGTAGGGGTGGAGGGAGGGGGGTGAGTGAATTATTCTTTTTTTGGACAAAAAAAAAAAAAGAGGTCGATTGAGGTTGAGGGGTTAGTTTACGGGGGAGAGAAGGGGGTTTGGGGTGTGGGTGGGGTGTAGGGAAAGAGGGGTAGGAGGGAGATTGGGGGTGGGAGAGGGAGAGGGAGAGGGGGATGGAGGGGGAGAGGGTAGGAGGGAGAGGGAGCAGGGAGAGGGAGAGGGAGATCTTACTAATAAGAAGAGGGAGGGGATAGTAGTTGATGGGACGGAAGGAGATTTTCAATGTTCTATAGAGATTAGAGCTGATAATGAAGAAATTAGCTTAGGACAATATACAAATATAGGGCGGAGCGGAGAAAATAGGGGGCGTTTAAGTATAAGTATTTGAAGATGCGATGATAAGTGTGAAGAGAAAAGAAAAGTGGAAAGAAAGGGTTTATGTTGTGTTTATAATGTGATTGTGTGTTGATGTGATATAGTTATGGAATATTTGAATTATGTAGGATCATGTGTATAGAATGTGTAGGATCTGTAGAATGTCTGTAGGAATCTGTAGAATGTGTAGAATGTGTAGAATTGTTGTAGAATGTGTAGAAGTAGAATGTTTAGAATGTTCAGAATTAGATATTTAGAGTGTAGAATGTGTGTTTCGCATGTGTAGAATGTGTAGAATGTGTCGAATGTTTAGAATGTTGGATGAGAGGTAGAATGTGTAGAATGTGTAGCATGTGTAGAAATGTGTTAGATTAGTAGAATTGTGTAGAATATGTAGAAATAGTAAATCGACTGGATGGGTGGAGAAATGAAGAAGATGGGAATATTATAGGGGAAATCTATATGGGGAATATATAGCGGGAAGAGGAGGCGGTATGGGGAGGGGATTGGGGTAGATGAGATGGAGGGAAAGAGGGGTGGGAAAGGAACTGGAAAAGAAAAAAAAAAAAGGATAAGGAGGAAAACATGGGAACGAGAAGAAAATAAAAGGAGAAAAAAAAAAAAAGGGAGGGGAAAAACGATAGATGGAAAACAGATCTTTCGGCGATTAGCATAATTTTACTGCTTTTTTAGTATAGTATAGGATAGGATAGCATCAGCATCAGGAGAGGCCGTGCGAAAAATGAAAATTCGGGGGGTAGGAATAAATGGGATGGCGAAATTGAGAGATAGGGGGGGGGGGGGGGAGGTGGTGTGAGAGTGGAGAGGATGGGATGAGAGGGATATTATTTACGGTATGGGTAGGGAAGAATAGGATGGTGAGGAATGTTCTTTTTTGAGGACGGGCGGGAGGAGGGGAGTGGGGATGGGGGAGGGAGGCGGGAGGAGGAGGTATGGATGGGGGGCGGTAGTTAGGGGGGAGCGGGGGTAGCTGGGGGATTCGGAACTTGTTATTGAGTTTATTGCTGCTTCCGCCGGTTCCCCCCGTGCTCGCAGTCCGGCCGCCTTCCGCATGATAGCCCCCCCCTGACGAGCTCGCCCAGGGAGATACTAAGTGCTCCGGGGCTCGTCCTGGTCCCGGTTCCCTGCCCCGGTCCCTTTCCCGTCCCGGCCCCTGTCCTTCGTGTCCATAATACAAGGCCGACCACGTATTACTCAAGGAAAGACGCAGGAAGAGGCGCGCGCGCGCGGCGAAGGTCAAAATAGTCCACCGCGGAAGCGGGGCGCGGCGGGGGGTGGGCGCGGTCGGAGCGAAGGCGCGGGCTGCCCGGGCGGCCCGGGCTCGCCCTGGCCGCCCCCGGGCCGCCAGGGGCCGCCCTGGCCCCTTGGCCGCCCGGGCCGCCCGGGCCGCCCGGGCCTCTCCGGTCCGGGCCTGCCGCCCTGGGCCGCCCCGAAACACGCGGGCAAAATATAATCGCTCGACTGATGCGTAAAGACCTGGGCGTAGGAGGTAGAGCCTGATGCGAGCGACGAGGAGGTGAGCGAGGAAGGCGAGGGACGAACAAAGAAAGAAGAAAGAAGAAAATGTAAGGAGATGGACGCCCGAGCGAGATAGAGAGAGCCTGTGCGGGGCGGTGCGCGAGGCGGAGCGGCGGAGGCCCCCGGACGGAAAGAGGAACACGAAAGACAGCGCGGGCGGGAGGGCGATAGGGTAGACGGAGGGGGAGGGGAGGCGAGAGCGTGAGGAGGGAAGACGGTGACGCGACGCGCTGGAGGGCGAGATAGCGGGTGTAGGGGCGATTAGAGAGGAGGAAGAGGGGGTAGAGAGGGAAAGGGAAAGAGCGAGGGCGAGACATGTACAGAGACGTGTAGGGTGAGGTAGCGGGGCTGGGAGGATTAGGTAGGGGAAGAAGTGGGAATGGGAGAGTGGAGGGATGGGGAGAGAGAGAGGGAAGATGTGGATACGAGGCGAAGGTGGATGGAGAGTGATATAAGGGCTGAGAAGTGGGAGTGGAGGGATGGGAGCTAAGAGCAGGCCCGGCCGCTGCCGGAGGCTAGGCGCAAAAACAAAGGATTCGTGATAGGGCGTCTTGCTCAGCGCCTACCGCGACCGCGAGCGAGTAGTGAGCGAGTAACTAGCGGGCTAGCTGCGAGAGCACCTCCCGCCCTCCCTGCCCTCCCGCCCTTCCCTTCCTTGCTTGTCGTTACTTGTCCTGCCTATCAAGCGGGTGGGGCGCGAAGCACTAGTCTTCGGGGCAGGTAATTGGTCTTCAAGTCTATTACAACTAGAATACCGATCCAAGACTACAATAACAGCCACGTAAATACGTCAGAAGATCGAAGTAGTCTAAAAGTGCAGATGAAAGTAATAGGACTACCGACGTCTTACAGAGATATACAGAGATTAGTATTACAGTCAAAAGGAGGAGAGTACAAACATTGTCAACGGTAGGTACGTGCCCGGCTTACACGGAGAGCAGGCCAAGCCACCAGGGTAGCGGTACAAGAGGCGTTTGTAAATATTCTTCAAGAAGGATGATTATACGCAGGGCGGCAAATAGCGGCTGACCGTAGGGCCACAGAGCGCAAGCCAAAGACCTCCGCTCTTCGCGTCGTCCATTCTAGCTCCTCACGCGCGCGATGAGCGCCTGACGGGGCACGGGCCGGGCGCTGCGCCGCCCGGGCCCCGGGCCCAACAGCCAGCCATTCAAGGGCAAAGCCAGCGAGGCAGCCGCGCCGCGAAACCCCCGGGCGCACGCTGCCGCGTCGGAGGGGCGCGCAGGAGCAGCGAGGCAGTGGCCTACGACTCACAACCGAGCAGTCAACCCGCGAGTGGATGAACAGGACACCGGGCGGAGGGAACACGCGGCGGTCGGGAGTCGGAGCGGTCGGCCCAAGGCCCAGGCGAGCAGTCGGGAGGACGGCGAGTGCCGGGACCCGCCGGACTAGGACCGAAACAGGGGGCAGGTCCAGCCCGAGCCCCGAGCCCCGAGCGCGAGCGCATACCCGTCTTACCAGGCACCCACGCGGCACGGACAGCACAATCCCGCCTCACCACACGCACAGCGCAAGTGCAAAACCCCCCAAACCGCGGTGCAGAAGGCGCAAAAACACCGGTCGATTTCATATCCCGATAAAGAGAAAGAGTAATACGCCGCATCGTCCCGCACTTCCCTCATTATCCCTCTTCGTATTCCCGTTTAACCTATCTCTCAATATATCACTGCATCATTCCACTTCACCCTCTACTTTATTCTCGACCTGCGCGCCTCGCGCTACGCTGCTTACTCCGCTATCTCTCTCTTACTTTCTCTCTACGCTCTCTACTCTCTCTACTCTCTTATCTCTCTCGACTCTCTCTTACTCTTTATTCCCTCTTTACTCTCTCGACTCTTCGTACGCTGCTACGCTCTCTACGCTCTCGATCTCGCGCTGACGCTGCTCTACTCTCTCTACCTCTTCGCTCTTACGTTGACTCACCCCCCTTATGTGAACTATCCTATATAATTATTCAAATCTCACATGCTCAAATATCCCCATATCTCCCATAATCTCCCTATAATCTCCCGTATCCATATCTTGTCCATAGCTCCATATCTCCCATATCTCCCATAATCTCCCATATCTCAATCACTCAAACCTACCATTCAATCCTCTATACAAACCCCTTCCTTTCCACACACACACACATCATAAACACCCATCTCCCATCTCCCATATCCCATATCCATCTCCCATCTCCTGAACCACAATCGACATTCTATATTCTATATTCTATCTCTTACCCATCATCATCACCACACCACACACCACACCACACACCACACTATCACACACCACACCATCACCCAACACAACACAACACCATCCCCCCAATCCCAATAGGTACTCACATCGAATCAACATCCAGATTCCAAAAAAACTATACACCAAAAAAATAAAAACAGATTTCATTAAATTGAGCAACTATCTATAATACCCTACAATACAATACAACATAACTCCCTACCTACCCTCCCTAACCACCTACCCCTCAATCTAACTATCCCCCTCCCCCCTAAAAAAACACAACACAATACAACAAAACCCAAACCCCAAACCCCATGTACCCAAACATTCTAAAAACATTAAAGACATAAGATATAACCTACAAAAAGAATCAAAACAAAAACGAACAAGAAAGACATTGAAGTATAAAATGAAGCGTTGTGATTACATTGGATTATTCTTGATGAAATGTGAAATTTCCCCAAATGAGTAATTGCATTTCGCTGTTTCATTCAGCTTCACTTGTTTTATGCTGCTCCTGCTCCTGCCCCGGCCCCTATTCATTTCATAGAATCGTACCATCCCTCTACTGCAACCTATTTGCCATATCCTGAGACAAACCCCTCCCCCTCTCTGCTATTCCATGCGTAATCTCCCCCGTTCTCCTCCTCTTTACCACACTCCCACAACACACTATAGCCTCCTCCATTCCTCAAATTCTGACCACAACCCTCCTTTACCTCAACATCTTAGACCGCCCCCATCCAGCGAACCCAACACCATACACCCATCTAGCCACCTATTTCCCATCACCCCGATCGCTTATAACTTAGAAAGACCCCGTCCCATTCTTCTCATCAATAAATCTATATCTTTCCCTCTCCTTACGATCCTTGTTAAGCATTGCAATACCGAAAATAAGCGCAACATCCAAGCCCACAATTCCAAAAGCTGCCGTAAAGATAACATCCAAGAATAATCCATCCAACTTGACAAATGCCGCTGAACATCCCGGCATTGTGGCCGCAATGATAGCATTAGGACATGTACTATCCATTACGAAAGGTGGCGCACTCGTACTATTGAAATATCCACAACAGCTCAATTGTTCCTGCAACAAACTTTGCGTCGTCGTAGATTGGGCATTCCATGTATCGAGAAGAGATTCTTTCGATTCTAATGTACCGAACCAAATATCGAGACCGATGACGAGAGTGAAGAGACCACAAACACCGACCATGAAGCCATGAACTTTGAGCCAGCCGCGAGTGGTGCTGAGGAGCATGGCGGGAATGGAGAGGAGGAAGGAGAAGAAGATTAAGATTGCATTTCCAATGGCGGCTATAGGGTGCGAGTGATGTTAGCTCATTGCGATACTTCCTTCTCAGGTGAACAAGATAATAAATATATGGGAAAACTAACCATTCAAAGGTGTACCCATCAACAACAAATCTGTAGCTACACTAGCAATAGTAGGAGCCTGCGAAGTACCAGACTTCGTTGTCAAGGCAAACCCAAGCAATAATGCACCTGAACCTACAAAGAGTATGTCCAGAATAACATATGTCAAAAGAATTTTATCCGCCATCTTGTCCTGTTGAATAGTACCAGCTATACTCAAGTCGATGTCAAAATTCGCAATTAAAGAAGTATAGGTGAAAGGAAGAAGAGAAGGTTGTCTAAGTCAAAGGACGTCCGGCGTCTAAATTTGCGTAAATAGACCACTGATTGGACTATATTCGGAATTGCAACGAATGGACAAATCGAAGAATGAAGGGAAATCAAGCAATCAATGCACTGAGCTTTGCTTGGCAGACGTTGAAAAAGATAGAGATGAAATGAAGAAAAAGACAGACAATCAAATGGAAAGAGAAGAATAAGCCACCAAAGTTTGAGATTTGAGAACCTTTCTTGCGACGGGAAAGAGATGAAGACCGACCTACCACAGAAAAGCACAACGGTAAGAGGTAGAACGGAATGTAATCGTAAGTTATGCCTCAATGGTGGTATGATCTTGCAGTCCTAGTATAGAACAGAAACAGAAACACTTCCCTTACCAGCAATACCCATTCACATCGTGAGGAATTTGCACACATTGCTTCATGCTTCGTGAAATGGGCCGTGCAATGGGTGTAATTCGTATTATTCCAGAAGATTGTAACAACATTGTGACTGTGTGACTGCGGTAAAAGAATGGCGTAGTAGAAACATGAGTGTTGTTGTAATGGCAGTGCTTGAAAACGAGGGGTTCAAGGATTTGGTGGTTTCTCTTCTCTACAATTGGTGTTTCGAATTTTGCCTCATGATGGGATTAGAAGTAACAAATTTCATATCGAACCAATGACGATGGAGGATTGCGAATTTTGTAACTTCCTACTCGTAGGTATTTGATGATAATCTATTGGGTGAATAAACTTTTGATACTTCGAGGGCATTTGAAATCGATCAATGATGTCCTTGGGTTATTCAAAGAAATGTAATGTAGGTAGGTAGGTAGTTTGTGTTTGTCAGTATCGCAAGAGGCATCGATTATGTCATGCATGGATATATGATAGATACAGTTGACGACTCACGAGCACGAGCACGAGCACGAGGAAGAGGAAGAGAAAGCGGTTGGAGGCTTGTGCTTGATTGATTGTTCTTGCTGGTAAGTTCTTCATGATCTTCTCCAAGGGTTCGGAGTTTAAAAATATACTCAGAAAACTTAAGGCAGGAACAGGAAAGCTTGAGAGCTCGTCCAACGGAGTATCATCCGCTTCAAGTTTGGTTCAACAGGTCCAGGCTGAGTTGAGTGTAAGTCCGATTGTAATGCCCGCACCTGAAAGGGGATTTATTGATAACGGGTGAGGCTTGAAAATGCCAGTCTATCCGACTACAGAAAAGTTCAAAAAGCTTGATTGGTTTAAGATCGAATTTGAAGGACTTCATATTGACCCTTTTTTCTTGGTACGAAAGTATATCCGTATATAAAGATATAAAGATAAGGGGGCCAGCCCCCAAACCCCCTTTCCTCGCTGCGCTCGATTGAAGCGATCGATAATCAAGATAGACTTTGAATTACTTTGCAACTGCAAGCTTGTCATGTGACAGAATAGACAAAATATGGTTGTACATGCGGGTAGATCACAGATCATACAGGTAGATCCAATGCACGGGTATGTGCAGACATCTCAGATCTTGAGATGCCCGTTGTTCTGGGCAAATGTCAACGGAACTGGTTGATAGTTGTTACCGGTACTTGTATTACTGTGAATGTAGCACATAGGCTGGCTGCTGTTAGGTAGACCCAGACTTCACATTCGGTCGTGAGTAAGTTACACATGGGAGACACAAACATTTGGAACTTTCAAAGGCCAGAAGTATGAGCAAGTGCCGAGAGGTTACTCATCCCCATATTTGATGCGGTCAGTTACCTAGTAGTTACCTAGTAGTTGATGGGAATAGAACTGTAGTTCTCCTTTCATTTCTGATCATTTCTGATATCCATCTCGTATACTCACATCCAGTACATCCAGAACATCCAGAATTGTATGATGGATACGTAGGTGATGCATTCTGATTCTGTTTGGAACCAATTTTCAATATCGACTCGATTCAACAAGAGCTTGGTTCCTTGATGAAAGGATCTTCAGCGTTTCTTCGATACATGTCTAATACCGGTAGTTACATCTGTTGAATCTACACACCGGTAGTGTCCTTGAGGTATCAATCGAGCGAACAATTCTATATAGTCCAGTCACCTAGCTGTGGGTAGGTAGATTCATTCTCCAATGAAAATGATATTCCCCCTCCTTTTCTCCTCCGTTCAAAGATAGCTTACTCATCAGTGACACACACACGAATACATACACACTACTGATACCAGAGATGAATAGCGTCTCCTTATACTCTTTGAAGCTTTAAAAAGGGTCGCACTTCCCTTCCCCTTTTCAGATTTGTTCTCTAACGCTTGACCTCAAAAGGTTTTGATTCTACTTGGTATTCGTTATTCAATCGTCTCCCCCAAAGAAGAGTCCTCCAATCCCTGCATGCTCCCAAAGTGCACAAGTCACAACACCCCAAACATCGACAGTAACCTCTTTACCTCTTATTTTCGCGGTCGCTACCCAGAATAGGCATCAGAAGATACTCTTTCGGTAAGGTATGTTGAAATATAAATTTTACTACGCGAGTAACTTCAGACGAAATTGTTCTTGTTCTTGTTCTTGTTTGGCCATATTATATCATCTATCCACCACTACACACACACACACACACACACACACACACACACACACACATACTCTCTCTCTCTCTCTCGCTCGCTCACTCGCAAACACTCTCGCTCACTTCCTCTGCTTCACGTTTTCCACCCTCTCCTACTCCTCATCCTCCAATATCCACAATCTCATTCCTCCTCCCCATCTCTATCGTCAAAGTTTCACGTTTCAAAGTTTCAAAGCTTCTCGCTTTACCAATTACCAACTTTCAACACACTGTCGCACTGATCTTCAACCCTCCTCCCCACACTACCATGTTTTCTTGTACAACTGCACACTGCACAGTGCACACTACCAACACCTCGGGAAATGATTACGGGTCACAATTTATCTGTTGCCCACACTACTGCAAAGATTTCTGCATTTGTTCAGGAGAGAGCACACAAGACAAGACATTTCCATGGCCATCTCCCATACAATTTATTGTTGAGTCAATGATGGAACGATCAGGGAGAAATCCAGCCAATAGGCCGAATTACCTTATCTCAAACCATTCTAGACAAGGGCAGGATTCATGCTTGTCGCAGACTTACCCCATTTGCCAAGATATTCCCAATCCTTCTCGAGTCAAACTACTTGGAGGTGATGATTGAAACTTGAACGCGAGTGTACTGTATGTACTGTGTACCTACAGGATTGAAATTCGATCAATTGACGGAAATGGTCATGAGCCACATATACAAAATTTCATGGTTACGGATACTTGGAAGTAAAGTTGCTTCAAAGTACCAAATTAAAATTACAATCGTTATCTCAAATGGTACGAATTGGAATCGGAGAGGAGACCAGATTTATTATTTCCTTCACCACTCCCTCCCTCGAATGACTCGAATGAGTCGAGTCCCTGACTGTCACTCCCTCAATCACTCCCCATCAATCCACTACGTACCCATCCATCATCTATCATCCACTTCATTCGAGCACGTACAGCACACCCACGCCCACCACCACCACCACCTTCAAATTTGAATTTCAGGGATGCAGAAGCTTCCGGGTTTGATACCGGTGCACGCTATTTTCCTCACTGAAAGGTCCCTTGCCCATCTCGTTTGCTTCGAGTAACGTAGGGATTATGAATGGTTGATGCTCCACGATGCTTGCAAGTGCTTTTCAATAGATCCCATCACTAAAAGCTTACCTAGAGCCGAGTGAAAGATTGGGGACTGAGTTAATGAGAGAATGAACTTTTGAAGGTTGTCCCTTGAGATTGTCCCTACTCACCAAAGTGGTTGATGACCATTACCCATAAATAATTTTGAGTTTTCGATATTATATCAATTTCCATCATTTCATTTAATTGGATGATAGCATACTATCGAATTCGACATCGACGTGGATTTCTTTAGAACCAATTTTTTTTAATCTCATCGTCTGTGCAATTTTGGGAAAAGGTTTAATTCAGGAATTTATGGAACTCAACTAACTCATCTTAACCAGTTACATGCTAGCATGCGATTGAATCGAATCGACATGCACAGATAATTTCATTTATGACCCATTCCACTTCCAACCATGCCCGCACTTGATTGGCCCATCTACACAACAATTCCTATGTCAATCACACCACAGATTAGCCACTCTCCACTCTCCACTCTCCCACTTATTACAGTCTTACACAAAGTTCACAAATTCCCCCCCCCACCGTTCCTTCCCGCATACAATAGTTTGCAGTACAAGACATTGTGACCCACCTTTCTTCAACTAAGGGACCAATGGACCAACCACTTTGGCTACAACGGAACTACTGGCTGCACTGCACACTTTCCCGACCGAGCACATTTTTCTGACTTTACTCGATTCATCAGTCTTGACTTCACTTCTACATACAACCACAACCCCAGCCTCCCCCAGTGTCCCATCTTTTTTTCGACTCTCTAACTTGTCGGTTGTGTATACGGAAGTATCTGTGTGTAAGTGTGTATCTCCTCCTTACCCAAAGAAGTTTACATACAGATACATCGAATCGTACATCAAAGTTCAGTCAGTACCAGACTACCAGACTACCAGACGAGCCGGTGCCAGTACCAGTATCAGCACAGGACCCTACCGAACAAATTGTTTAATTGTTTAATTCGCCTGTGCTTTCTTGAATCAATCTATTCTCTTTTCATTCATCCCGCATTCACACTGCCTGCATTCACACTGCAGCGATTTTGCCTGATCAATCTATTAATTCCCCCGTCTTCTTTTTACAGTTACTTTTGCAAAAAGTCTCCTTCTCAGGAACGAACCACAAGAAATAGTTCTAGAGTCCCGACGGCGGTCCAGCTATTCCCATTACCATTGTTGTTACTACTATTACTACGACTACGACTACGACTACCACCACCACTTCGACCACGACCACCACAATCACACTCACCACTCCGAATTTATTATTATTACTACTACGGAACGAACCATCACACCCGCAAGAGCCCCCCTTCAAGAAATAGGTACGTACCCAAAAGGAAAAGCAACCAGGCACCACTTCCAATTCCGCATCCAAGCACCACCCCCAACTTCCGCAACCGTCAACCCATATGTCCCGCGTACTGTATCATAACTGTACCGTACCGTGCCATACCACCATACCACCCACCATACCACCCACCATACCACCATACCACATCTTGACCTGGAACATTCTCCCCAAACTCCCCCCTTCAAGTCCAGTTTTGATCGAATCAAATTCCACGGTTCTTTGGAAATTGATCGAATCGAGTAAATAAATTTCCATGTACGGTACTAATTCTTATCCTTCTTTTGATCAGTTACCACTACTATTCCGTTACCATTGCCCATTAACAACCAATACAATACACGCTTACCTCATCCACCACCATTTCCTTTAAGGAGTACACCTCGATCAATTACATTTGCATTTCCATTTCCAATTACCATTATATCACAAACAATTCCAATCACCCGCATCAGGTAAATTCATTCCTCGATTCATTCATTCAATCCATCCATCAATCAATTGCGTGGGATCAATCCATTCATTCTCTATCCCTCCTTACCGCTTTTCTCGGTGCTCGGCAACCAAGAAAAATAAGGCGCGCGGACGGCCTTTGCTCTTCCAGTTAAATTTCAGCCCATCTTTTTTTTTTCTCTCGTAGGCTGAGATAATAAACTCGGCTCAACCCAAAAATTCCCACCATTCTTAATCAAGTCTTCGTTAACCAGGTTTCTGCGACAAAGCAGGACAACAGCCTCTCCACCACTTCCCCATAAGCAGTAAGGTCGTCGGCAACCACCTCAAAACAGTCATTCTCGTCATACCTTACCTCAATTAAGTTATTTTATAAATCTTATCAAAATGGCCGATATCACAGATCAACACGACCAAAATTCTCCAACAGCCCTCGATGAACATGCTGTCGGCAATGGAAACCCAATTGCTGGATCCGATGCTCGTGGCATTAAACGCGCAAGACCTGCCACCGCAGATGACGACGATGACGATGATGATAAACCCGGTCGCGAAAGAAGAAAAATCGAGATCAAATTCATTACAGATAAATCGCGTCGCCACATCACATTCTCGAAAAGAAAGGCCGGTATCATGAAGAAGGTTAGTTGTCACTCGTTATTTATGTCAATAATGATACGCGTCAATGCAATGCGACGCGCCTATCGTGTGTGAAATGATGGCTGACGGTATATGATTGCTTTTTAGGCATACGAATTGTCAGTCTTAACTGGGACCCAAGTTTTGCTCTTGGTCGTGTCCGAGACTGGTCTTGTATACACTTTCACAACACCAAAGTTACAACCTTTGGTCACAAAGGCGGAAGGAAAGAATCTGATTCAGGTATGCGAATAATTCAGCCTCACTCGGCCCAATAAGGACACGATGCTAACATACATCTATCAGGCTTGCTTGAATGCGCCCGAACCTTCTGGAAATGGTGAGAACGGAGTTGATGATGGAAACACTGTCGAATCACCCGAGGAGCCAACTCCACAACATTTACCTCCACAACAACAAGGTCGTCCTGGAATGCCTCAACAGGCACCACAAATGCATCAAGGTTATGGCGTTGGTGTACAAGGGCTATCGCAGGAACAGCAACAAGCTATTGCTTATCAAAATTATATGGCTCATCAGCAACGAGGAGGCTATATGCCTCCACAAGCTGGTATGCCACAACCGCAAACACATCAATCATAATACAATCGCGAAGTCCCAGTACACGAAACGGGTCAAATAAGTCTTTGAAACTTTGATACCCGGCACATAATGCAAGAGTGTTCTGCACCAATCGTGTCTTGCGGGGTTCGATTCTCTAATGTTGTTTCCGAAGGTGTTAAGGTGTCATTTTTTCTTCTATTATATGGGGGTTCTCTTTCATTTGATCCGCACAGACGTATTTCCACATCACCAAAACAGACACAATTTGCGATAATGAGATTAATAAACCTTGCCACCATTTGGAATTCTGAATATGGTAAAAGGGAAGGGGGCGTGCAAGGCGGTTGGTTGGTGCGGGGGCTTTGGCAGGCAAGGTGGGCGGCCAATGTTTGGTTCTGCGAATTCCTCCTCTTTTTTTTCTGTTTCTCTCGTTCTGAACGGTTGGTGGTGACGGTGATGGTGGATGATGCATTTGAAAGATAACATAGTTCATTCATGATGGGATGATATCAAAAGGATGGTTCGTGGGAAGTGGGTGCAGGTAATCAGGCAAATTTCTAGCTCGAGGTCAGGTCGTTGTAGCAGCTCTCTCTTGTACAGTAAAATCATTTGGGGAGGACGAGAACTAAATGAAATAATCCGTCTGTTCAGAAATTTCTCTCGAATGCACAGTGATTTTCCTGAGTATCATGAAAGAAGGATTTCTTACTTGGAATCAAAGAATATTAAGTATGAAATGAAATGAGATGAGATGAACTTGCTTCTGATGGATTTGCTAGTACTGCATTTTCCTGTGCATATCTGATAGATACCTTTTGCCTTTTGCTTTTGCTTTTGCTTTGCTTTGCGTTTGCGTTTGCGTTTGCTTTGCTTTTGCTGTACCTTGACATGGCCTCTTTGGCTTGGCTTTGGGCTTGCAGTTGCAGTTGCAGTTGCAGATGCAGATATCTGTCAGGAGATCGATCTATTTGATGGTAATGTGATGAGACGATGGTGATCTGATCTGATATGATATGATGAGACGATGGTGATCTGATCTGATCTGATATGATATGATAAGATGGGTGGTGTGAGATGATGTGATGTGATGTGATGTTAAGATGTGAAGTGATGTCAAGATGTGAAGTTTTATGTGGATGGGATATTGTATTAGATAAGATGTGATGTTTTATGTGGATGGGATAGGATAGGTATATGTGTATGTGTATGTATTGTATATGTATGTTATCTTGCAATTGCAATTGTGTAATTGTGCAATTGTAGATGGGGGTGGGAGAACTACTATTTGAGAGAGAGAGAGAGAGAGATGGGGGGAAGGGGGAGGAGGGAAGAGGAGGGAAGAGGAAGGAAGAGGAGGGAAGAGGAGGGAAGAGGAGGGAAGAGGAGGGAAGAGGAGGGAAGAGGAGGGAAGAGGAAACCATTTCTGTTGTATTTCTACATCCATCGTGTCTATTCTAAGGTTGTATATTCATGTGTATATTCATGTGTATATTCATGTGTATATTCATGTGTATATTCATGTGTATATTCATGTGTATATTCATGTGTATATTCATGTGTATATTCATGTGTATATTCATGTGTATATTCATGTGTATATGTATATATATATAAGTATAGATGTAATCCTAGCGACAGCACAGTACTAGTAAACAAACAGATTAACAGAATAAAAAGGAGGTTGATCCAATTTTATATCCAATTTTATATTCATATTTGTCTTTGTGATCTATGCTATGTTATGTTATGCTATGTTCTGTTCTGTTATGATTAATTATCCTTCTTCTCTCTCCATCCCCCTTCTTGACTCCTCATTCCCTATCCATATCCCTATCCCCATTCTCATTCCCATTCCCATTCCTAATCTCAATTTTCAATTTTCAATTTTTCCTCCTCCTTCCTTCCTTTCTCCCCCCCTTCCCTACAGCTCTTCCCCACGATTCATCTCCATAGCTCTAGACAAATAGTATAGTATATATAACACACACACACACAGTATAGTATATCATCCCACAAGCTAACCAACCACCCAACCACCCCCCTCCCCAATCTTCGCTTCTGATACCTCGCTGCTCCTTATACCTGTACCTATCCTATATCCATGCCTATACCTATGCCTATGCCTATGCCTTATACCTCATCAAACTGTAATATCAATGCCAGCGCTCCCATATATACCTAGCATGCTTGTGATTCCTCTAAACGCCATCCATTCTTTCATTCTTTCGTTCGTTCATTCGTTCATTCGTTTCTTCCGCCACAGCAGGAAATAAAAGAGAAAAGGGAAAGGCAAAAAAAAAGCAAAAGCAGAGCCAGAAAAGAGTAGAAAGGAAAAGCTTCATAAAAACAATCAATCAATCAATGTACAATAACAGCCAACACCCAATCTTTCGTACTCGTTAATTCATCCCTAATAGCCTAGACAGAAGGAAACCTTCAAATCTCAAGTTTAAAAGAGAAGATAAAATAAGAAAGTAAAAAAGCAATATTCATATATAAGGTATACGTATCCCTAACTACTCGTCCCAGTTCCTGAAGGACCAGCGTCCGACCCACCTATCCCACCGATTCCCAATCCCGTACCCGCACCCCCATCACCACCAGAAGGAGGAGGGCCTTTCCCATTACTCCCATCTCTGTCTCTCCACCATTTCATCTTCCACCACCCACCTGTCGCATCTTGACTTTCTGATCTCATAGAACGGCGTTTCCTTGGTGTAGGACGAGCTGCAAAGCCTGGGAAACCCGTTGAACGTCTTCTTTTTCTACGATAAAAAGATACTTCCCGCTGAAGAAGTGATGTATTTTCATCCGGAATAGGCGAGTCCATTCCCGCTTCTTCATCATAATTCGAGGTTCTAGGGAATGTCGATGCAAAGTTTGGTCTCTTCGCCCTTGGTCTTGTAGGCGTAGATTTCGCATCATCATCTTCTAATTCACCCCAAATCTCATCTACTTCTGAAAGACGAACTGCTTTCCTTACATGTCTTGTTGCCCCAATAATCGTATCAAGTTTAGTGGTCGGAGTCATGGGCTCGTCGCTTAGCAGAGCTTGATGTTCATTTGTGATGGCAGCTTCTTCATCTGCAGTATAGGATTCTGAAGAATCGTTGTCAGTATCTTCGACGAGGCCGAGGCCGGGGGCGAGCGCACTTTGGGCTACAGCTGGTTGAGTTTGTTCTTCGTTGAGGCGCCAAGAGAGAGCTAGGACGCCAGATAGTAGAATGGCCGTTCCGAGAGCAATCAGCCCTGCGTGTAGGGCAGGTAGTCGATCAGTCTGTTTGAAATATATGAGGCCATCGAGAATGGCTATGATGTTATAGATGCAAAATACCAGTGGATATAGCACACTGGTAGATACTAATTTGAGACCCCGATGCAGGAAGTATAGTTGTGTGAGAGCCAGGAAGACGAGACCGAAAAGAATAGCCCATGATTGCCATCGATCGAATTGGTTATGTCGATCAATAATCGTTCGGACCAACAGTTCGACTGCTGATTTGGCTACCAATAAAGAGTGGGCTGACAATACTCCACTAATACATCCATATGCCAATCCTCTGAGGAGTCGGATTCGAGGACTTGCAGAAATTCTTGGAACCCTCCCCAGAAACCATGCCAGAGCGACTATTCCCGCAACCAATAAAGTCTGCATTATCATCCAAATAACAAAGGTTCGTCGTCCGAGAAGTAATAGTAGTTGATCCAGCGAATGAGCCGGCTCTGGAATAGCCCCAAATATAGCAATCAGAATCGCTCCTGTCGAAACCAATAATGTTCCCCCTAGAGACCATTTTGTAAATGGTTCTCCCAGTATCAAAGTTGCGCAAATAGAATTAAAGACCAGACCCGAGGCTTGTAGAGTTGACAATACAGGTAGAGGTAAAGTTGTTATTTGGATCGTACTGCCCACAAGATTCGATATGATAAACATGCCCATGCCCAGCTGCCATCTTCTCCTTCTATAAGGCGGTCGTCGAACATGCTGTGCCCCTTTCTCATCTTCTAGAATATGTGATTTGCGTTGGAGGGTTAAACCGAGACTTTGGACACTCGTGGATATAAGTCCTACTAATATCCCAATCTGACAATGTGTAAAAATGGTAGTTAGATAGCTGTGCAACGAATCTTTGAACCATTTCATTTCCAGGACGAGAGACTTTGACTTACAGCCACACTTCCCCCAGGCGATAGGTCGCCGAGCTGTCCCATTACGATGTATTGCAAAGCTTCATTTGGTATGGTAAAGTACCGTCCTCTGTCCGAGAAAGAGATTATATGGTGTAATAATTAAGTTTGAGAGAGACTGTGTGTGTAAAGTGATTGTTCCAACACGCGGTCAACATTAAGTCATATGCGATGTCCACCAGATCTCGGGGGTATGTATAACGATCGCAAGTTCGATATCCTGAGTCGCGATGCAAATTACTCCAAGAACAACCGCTCTCAATGAATCACAACAAATATAATTCTGCAAATGTGACAGTGCGAACAACGAGTTTCAGATGAAATAGAAAGAAATTTGGCATAAATTATTCATTTCCCACGAGTCAAGGAACATTCCTCACCGTTCAGACAAGTATACTTCGAGAATACGTAAACGCCACAGTATCACATGATCATTAATCGGGACGTCGCTTCCCTTATCGCTTCTGGACCTTGGAGCTATCCCAGGTTGTTAATCCCCAACCTTGTTGTTGCTGTTGAAGCTCCAACGTTTCCAACGAATATCAACCTTTCCACATCTCTCGATTCCACGCAATCTTTCCCAGTACTTTCACATCTACCAATCGCCCATCATGTCGCACGCTCTTTCGGATGACCAGGTAAGTGAAGCTATATCCAGCAATCACTCCAGCCTCAAAATCCCATGCTAATGTTATATCTAGGTGTCGCAGGTACGGCTTCCCTTCCTCTCCCCGAGGCGTCCCATCCCCAGAACCGGCATTAACGCAATGTGAAAACAGGAGTTGAAGAAGATGACGGCGTTCATCAAACAAGAAGCCATGGAAAAGGGTCGCGAAATCGAACTCAAAGCAAATGATACGTCTCCACCAACAACCCATTTTCCATCTGCCTTCCCCCTAACATACCCAAACAGGAATTCGCCATTGAAAAATCTAAGCTCGTCCGTCAAGAAACTTCCTCCATCGACACGCAATATGAGAAGAAATTCAAGACCGCCCGTATGTCCCAACAAATCACTCAATCGACCGTCGCAAACAAGACTCGTCTCAAGGTTCTATCCGCCCGCCAGGAACTCCTCGATGGGATCTTTGAACAGGCGCAAGGAAGACTCAAGGAAGCTACGAATGATAAGGGCAAATACACGGAGATCTTGAAGAATCTCTTGTTGGAGGGCATGTATGCATTGAACGAGGGAAAATTGCAGGTTAGAGGGAGAAAACAAGATTATGACCAGATCAAGAAGGCAATTGAGGAGGCGCAGAAGGTGTACAAGGAGAAGATGAAGAAGGATGTGACCGCGAGTATAGATGAGAAGAACCCTTTGCCCGAAGAATCGTAGGTTTCTCGAGTTTTAAGTGTAACGAGGTTGGAAGCTAACGTTCGGATAGTGCTGGTGGTTTGTCCATTATTGGTGGAGGAGGCAAGATCGATATCAACAATACTTTTGAGGAGCGTCTGAAGTTGCTCCAGGATAACGCATTACCCTCTGTCCGAACCACATTATTTGGTCCTAACGTTAACCGGAAATTCTACGATTAGTTGTTTGGTGGATGATGAGCGTTGTGTTTTGAGAGTCTCAAGGATGGAAAGGAGGTACGAAGGAGCTTTGCACATTCCAATTATACAATATTGCAGGTTTTGTCGGTAGAGCGTGTATGATACATTAACATCAATATCATTAAGATTGCATACAGAATGTTTGGTCTTGAAATATACAAATCAATACGACCTACTCCAGGCGTGACTCGCATATCTTGAGCGCAGCACTCAATCTATTTTGCCTGCTTCACAAAATTAGACATGCCCTTTTGCATTCCCTCCAGAGATTCTCCCTGTTCATAATATTTCTTCGTCTCTTCATAAAACATGTTTTTCGGTTTCCGCCTAGTCCTCACCGTATGTTCTATTCTCCTCTCCACTAAATTTAAAATCCCACTTGTTTCCACCTTTGAGATATGAGCGGCACCCGAAGCCATGATGCCGAAATTAGCAAATCGATCTGTCAACTCATCTACGTCTTTATTAAACTGTATCTCTGTATCTTCATCTGTCAGATCTAGATCTTCGGCTCGTCCATCGTCAATACCAATGTCTAGGAGGAGAATTAGGGCCGAGAGCTCGGGATAATCGGTAGTACGAGTTATCTGGAAGGGGGGATCGTTGAGACGCTGGATGATGGAGCGGATGGAGAGGGATCTTTGGGGTGGAGAGAGGGATACGGGGAGAGAGGAGAAGAAGAAAGTTAGGGCTAGGCGACGACGGAGTTCGTGAAGTTTGGAGGAGCGGATGGGGGGGATGGAATTTACTATGCCGAGACGAAGAGAGGCGAGTTCGACGGTGTTGAAGAGGGTGGCGCAGACTGTTTGGGACTATTGGGGGGGGGCGATTAGTTTATTTATGTGTGGGACTGGAGTTTGAGGCCTGAGAGGAGACTTACGGATTCTTCCCAGACATCGGGATCAATCCAGAGACATAGATTGTGCAGTGTTGTCTGTACTTGTGATAAGAGATCAACTCTTTCTAGTAAGGCTGGATCTATGCCCAGTCTCAAGAGTATACATATAACTTCCAGTCTCGTTTCTTGTTGGAGATACTTGGCTATTAGATTTAAGAGACCGATCAAAGCTCGGACTTTTGACCAAGGATGATTTGAATATGCATCTGATATCTCTAGACGTGGTACCACTTTTTCAGATAGAGCAATCGCCGTATTCGTAGCACCGATAGATTTGAACATCTTCCTAATGACCATAGGAGTGACCAGTCGGTGAACTTGTTTTCGTGATACTGCCAAAACAGAAGAATAGGCATTTCGAAGATCATTCTGTTCTTCCAAACAGAAGTCATCTAGAATCCATTGGATGATCTCATCGGGCAACTTCTTTCGATACGCAATCATATTCTCCGCGAACCCCGATACAAATGTTTGATGTCTGATCTGAGGCTCGGCGAGATCATTCTTCCAATTTTTCGGCAACGAAGAGGTTGGAAATGGTTTCCTCTTGATCGGGGGAGTTTCTCCCGTTTCGAAAAAGTACCATCGACTGCCAACATTTCCAGCTTCTGTTCTCTTAACAGCCTTTAAGACTTTCTGAATATCCTTCCCACCGCCATCTTCTTTCTCCTCATTCAACTTTCGTAGGATGCCGCCATGAATATCATCGTTGAATGCGGTAGGTTCATCATCTCCCATCTCCGTATCTTCCTGAGCTATTTCTTTCAGCCTTCTTTCTTTTTCCTCGAGCGCTCTATCGGCCACCGCAGTTCCCATGAGATGTTTCAGATCAAATTTGTATGGTGTTGTTCTAAGAGCTAATGGAGAACGCTTGGCACTTGAGAATGGGTCATTTCTAAATCTGGAGGCCCTGGGGGATACTGGGGCTAGCGTGGAAGATGTCGCGATTGGCGCTGTACGATTTGTCTTGAAGATAACGTTGAGATCTTCCAAAGAACTATCAGAATCGCCTTCGTCGTCTGAGCATGGAACAACGCCATTCGAGATATTGGAAGAGGACTGCGGAATGTTTACCGGTGGAGTTGATAAAGAGGAGGTGGATTGTGGAGAAGATGGCGAAGAAGATGATTGTGGAGAAGACATAGGTTCCATAGTAGCACTTGAGACTAGACCTGTTGGCTGAGGGTTTGTGGAAAGTGAAGATCCGGATGTTATCTGATCATTGTTGCGCGAGGTTGTGGATAGAGGGGTAGATGCCGATGTGGAAGCCTGTTGTGTCGGCTTGAAAAATTGGCGAATGTTTCCATTAGTTTTACCCTTCTTTGAAGACATGACCAACTAGCACGTTCAGATATTATAGCAGATATGGAAACACGTAGCCCTAGTTGCTTTATTCAATCCATGAGAATCTTCTTGTCAAACGTGCATAACAATCTTTCAGATTTCGATGAGTTGAGAGTCGCGTCTGTGTCGCGTAATTGATAATGCTTGTAGACACGAACATCACGGGATGACGAATTCTGGATCACTTCAATTTTGGTGTTTCTATTTTGGGTATTAGGTAAGCGCCGGGGCGGCATTCACGTTGCGATCGACAGCCATCCAATTTAGATGAAACTATTTGACGACTACTTGTACTTCAATTCTACTTGTGATTAAAATTCTGGGCGGCGAGCGATCGGATTGTAGAGATCTTCATTAAAAAGATGAATTTTTTGAGATTTATTTGATGAGGATGTGTCAAATTGTCAATCTTGAGAGTGCAGTGCAGTACCGTCCTGCATACTCCACGAGTCCACCATCAAAAGATCAACTACCTTGGCTGCTTGGCTCCATGGTTAAATCCGGTCCCTGCTCCACCGCGGATCTAAAAGTCCCTGCGCTTCCGTTTTACTTCCAATTTGATGCAGATGTCAAACGTCCATATGTACAATTTTTTGATGGTCCGGTCCGGATGTTGGCCATCCTGCTCAGAGAGAGTCTAAGCCTCGCGCTGGATTTTGGAGGAATCATCTTTTTATGCATGCTAATATTATCACAAGTAGGTAAGCAGCAATTACCTTCGCCTCAAAGGTACATACATACATACGTGAGAAAAGAGATGAGAGAGTATTGCAGTTCAGGTAGGGCGTTGATCATTATTGATATCGGCTGATGATACATACATACTACCCCTCTCTGAAGATTAAAAAGGTTAATAAATGATACCTTAGCAGTACCTTAGCAGTCCGTCTTTTTCTATCATGCAGATTGTCCTTTCTTCACAATTCACATAATGCATGCATCTCGCTCTGTTTAAACCCCGAGTGGTACCTACCTACGAAGGTTGGAAGGGTAATTAATGTAAACCCCACTTTTACTAAAATCTTGCTGTTTTTATAGATTTTGCTGCTGCTTTAAGCGATTCGAATAGATATTGAGCTGTTCCCCCCAAAATTCAGTCTTTAAAGCTTTTACTTGCTTTTTATCAATTCTAATAGTTTTTTAGTATTTGAAGTATTTGAAGCTTCTGATAGGTTTTAAATAGATTCTAGATAGAATTTCGAATCAATATTCAATAAGAAATTAGTGATTTTGAATAAATCGTAGATAAAACGTGACTTTTACAATACTTTTACCACCTGGAGTTCATCATATAAATTTTCAACCAGCGACGTGATTCTATTGGTCCAAGGGCCAAAAGTGGGGACACATTTAGGTGCATTTTACATTACTTACCCATCCAACCTCCGTAGTATCGATAGCTGGTTTCGGATAGCTATAAAAAAAGGGATGAATGAAGTGAGGTAGATGATCAATGTATGTACCTAGGTAAGGCTTTATCCATTCGGCTAATCAAGAGTAAAGAGGGATCTATCGTACGGAGTACGGAGTTATGAGAAAGATCCAGCCCAGCCACCACCAGCGGCCAGCCTGGTTCAGTACTTTGATTGAAATATCGATACATAACGAATAAATTGTTTGGCGTTTTGTTGATGGAGCAGATTGATAAAATGGTCCCTAGGTCAAGTGAAAGTTATATAGACATTAATTTGAGCAATACATCTCTGACCCTTTCTCCTTTATGCAAATGATCAAGTGCACTGTACCTAGGTAGGTAGCGGTATTCATAATGAGACGTCTCCCAACTGCTCACGGTCAGATATAATATCCGAGAGCTTTTCTCCGAATCTCCTTCCTCCCTTCAAGAAATCGAGATCCTTTGTTCGGCCGAGATTTCCACTCGACTCCAGCCCCAGCCATTTTATGAAATGCTTACTGTTATGTTATTATCTAACTTCTAAGTGATACCGTATGCTTACATGTGTCAATTTCTTCTTTTTCTCTTGGTCTTCTTGGTATTTATCCAATTATTTCCACCCAAAAGGAATATGTCGGGTAAGGTACATCCTAGATATACCTGGTCCTTACAGTCTACAGAGGAGACACTCGACAATGCTCGAGTACAAACTCCGGATCTAATCTTGTAATACATTCATCCAGAATACCTAGGTACCTACTAGGTATCTAGATAGAATGTCCTGTACATCGACATGCAACATGCAGTGATACATCCAAAAGTCCCTTCCCCTCCCCCTCCCCCGACAAATTCATCAATGACAAAGCTCAGCACAGTAAAATAGAGCAAGATCTTACATGGCCAGCATGGACAACTCCCTCCTTTCCAGAACAACTGTTTGTTGATATATTGAAGGTTAACCCCTGAACTTTGTTTCTCAAATATGATTGGCGTAAATGTGAATCCTGGGTTTCTGGAGCACCCTCGCACCCTCGGACCCTCCCAGCCAGTCTCGAGCCAGTGTGCCTCCCAAGAATCTTTGGAAATTTCAGCCCTCTGGAAAAATTGTGAGGCGGTACAGGGACGATGTGGATGGATGGGCATGAATCAATCAGTCAGTGAGCATGAGGATGAGCATTTTTGATATTTCCCTCCTCTTCTCAATCCCATGCGACAGCTGAGAATGAGGTGTCTTTTGCCTACCTAAGTATCTACGGAATTTACGATTTGTGCTGGATTCCGTGGATTACGGTACGTACGAAGTGCCTAGGTACTATCTATCTCTCTACGGAGTATCTACTTGCAGCATTCAGACACTCCCTTGCTCTCTTAATAACAACCATCTAAGAGGAGGACAAATCAAATCATTTGTTTTGCGGGAATCCTTTCTTTTACCATTGACCATTTTCCATTTTCCATTTTCCCTCGAGGCTACTCTACTCTGGCCTATCCAAGCCCAAGCAATTTCGATTCATCTCTCCTTCTCTCCTTCTTCTCCGTATTCTTTTCCATCCGCCATAATCAACCTTTCTTTCTTATCCCTAGCTACCTACTTTTTGACTTTCGTGAAGCATGGAAAATGCGTGATATGATGTATGTACGATTCTAGTCTCACATACTACTATTTACTACCATCTATTATATCAATCGCCTCTCCACAAATCCATCATCCGCGCTCCGAATTTCGTCGGTTTCATGTGGCGTTTGCTACTACTTCTCATTTGTTCTTTAGCTGTTGCTCAATAAGCATTTTACGAACTCCTCTTACCCCCCCCGGAACTTCCAGAGCATTTCATTCACTTGCTCAAACCCAACTCAAACCGTAGACTCCGTCCCTCTTCCTTTCTTTCCTCTCAACATCAACAATTACCACCCTTTCCTCGAAACTTCACCATCTCTTCAATTCGAACTATTTGCCTCTTGGGGAATCTGCTCACACACAATCTTTCAATTGCCCCATACAACCTTGCATGGTTCAAATATTCAAAATCGAAAAAAAACTACCGCCCATTCGCGATCTCCTGGCCGACTCTTCCGGTACCAAATTAAGTTGTCATAAGCGACCATTCTAAAAGTACCAGACCTTCTACTGTGTGGACCTTTGTTATAACGATACTTCTTACCGTTGCTCGTCGATATTAATTTCGTCTCTTTCGAAAGTTCTAGTCGAGTCTCAATTGTTTCAATCGTCTTGTCTCTTTCACGAATTATACTTCAACGTCTGAATTCTTTCAAACACTGGCGGACATATTCACCTTGCCTGCGGGCTCTTGCCTCAAACTGGGCTTCCGCCCCAATCACAAACGATCGCAATCATGCCGGACGTCGACATGTACGCAGAACCCGAGGAGGATGCACCTGAGCCAGGGACGAGGCGAATGAGATGGGCCACACAAAGAGTGTCCCCCAAAGGTAGTGATAAGAAGAGAACATCGATAATGGATCGGTTGCATCCGCGTAAGTCGCAAAGTAGTGAGAAGAGAGACTCTGCCGGCGCAAGTTCAATGGGAACGGATCTTGACAGGATACAAGAAGAACAATCAAATGAAGCTGCGGAGGAACAGGCGGAGGATGACGATAATGACGGTCAAGGACCTAGAAAGGTTTTCTTTAATCTTCCGTTGCCACGGGACGCGATCGACGAGTCGGGTCACCCCTTGGTGCATTATAAACGAAACAAAATCAGAACTGCAAAATACACTCCTTTGAGTTTCATACCGAAGAATATTTGGTTTCAATTCCACAACATCGCGAACGTGTATTTCTTGTTTTTGATCATTCTCACCGTAAGTTCAGGTCTTGTAGACTGCATGTGTGAGGCTGATGATTCGTATAGATCTTTAGTATCTTTGGTGCATCTAATCCAGGTCTCAACGCTGTTCCCTTGATTGTTATTGTCGCAATTACAGCTATCAAAGATGGAATCGAAGATTATCGCAGAACCATTCTCGACAATGAATTGAATAATTCGCCCGTTCATCGCCTTGTTGACTGGAACAACGTAAACGTCAGCGATGATGACATTTCACTATGGAGGAGAATCAAAAAGGCTACTTCACGTTGGATCGTAAGGACACTCAAGAAAATGAAGAAAGACAAAAAGCTACCCGGAGAGACGTATGCCCAACGTGCTATGGATGTGGACGAGCCTCGACCCTCTTTCGAGTCAAGGGCTGCGCGAGACGACATTCAAATGACACCAGTGCCCTCTCCCCTTCCACGAGATGGCGAGCTTGATGTTCCCGATCGCCCGACGACAGCTTTCTCTTACGATGATGCTAACGGGAAAGCCCCTGCGGAGAAGAATTTCGGAAGTTTGATCAACCGCAGCAATGCAGTAACTGGAAAACCCAGATTTCATCAGGATTATTGGAAGAATGTGCAAGTTGGTGATTTCGTTCGTATCTACAACGACGATCAGATCCCAGCAGACATTGTGATTTTATCTACCTCTGACCCCGACGGAGCTTGCTATGTTGAAACGAAAAATTTGGATGGAGAGACGAACTTAAAGGTACGACATGCTCTTCGTAGTGGCCGAAGCATTAAACACGCTCGTGATTGTGAAAGAACGGAGTTTACTATCGACAGCGAAGCACCACACCCTAATCTTTACCAATACAGTGGTGTGGCTCGTTGGACGCAATACAATGGAAAAGATGGACCAGGCGAGGACATGGTTGAGCCGATCTCGATTAATAACTTGCTTCTCCGTGGATGCAATCTCAGGAATACAGATTGGATTCTCGGAGTTGTCGTATTTACCGGTTTTGATACCAAGATCATGTTGAACTCTGGAATCACTCCAAGTAAACGCTCACGCATCGCCCGGGAACTCAATTGGAATGTCGTTTACAATTTCATTCTTCTTTTCACCATTTGTTTCGCTTCTGGTCTTGTCGAAGGTATCATTTGGGGACAAGGCAACAATACCATTGATCTATTCGAATTTGGTTCCATTGGTGGAACCCCGGCACTTGACGGTTTCATCACTTTTTGGGCTGCTCTTATTCTTTTCCAGAATTTGGTACCAATTTCATTGTACATCACGATTGAAATTATCAAGACTTGCCAGGCGTTCTTCATCTACAGCGACAGCGAAATGTATTACGACAAACTCGATTATCCTTGTACGCCTAAATCGTGGAATATTTCTGATGATTTGGGACAGATCGAGTATATCTTCTCTGACAAAACTGGAACTTTAACACAGAACGTCATGGAATTCAAAAAGGCCAGCATCAACGGAGTTCCCTACGGAGAAGCATACACTGAAGCCCAGGCTGGTATGCAAAAGCGTCAAGGTATTGATGTAGAAAAAGAAGGTGCAAGGGCTAAACAGCAGATTGCTGCAGCGCGTGCTAAAATGCTGGTCGATGTTAGAAAACTTCATGACAATCCGTACCTCCATGATGATGATCTGACTTTCATTGCTCCTGATTTCGTTACCGATCTCGCTGGTGAAAGTGGTAAGGAGCAACAAGACGCCAATTATCAATTCATGTTAGCTCTCGCTCTTTGTCACTCGGTTATTTCAGAAACCACACCGGGCGATCCTCCCAAGATTGAATTCAGAGCTCAGTCGCCTGATGAAGCAGCATTGGTTGCTACTGCCCGTGATGTTGGTTTCACTGTTCTCGGAAACTCGCCAAATGGTATTTTGTTAAACATTCAAGGTGAAGATAGAGAATATAGGGTTCTAAATCAACTCGAATTCAATTCGACCAGAAAGAGAATGAGTGCAATTATCCGTATGCCAGACAACAGAATCATACTCTTCTGCAAAGGTGCAGATAGTATAATATATTCTCGCTTAAAGCGAGGAGAACAACCAGAGTTGCGTCGTACGACAGCGGAACATCTGGAGATGTTTGCAAGAGAAGGTTTACGTACTCTTTGCATCGCGCAAAGAGAGCTTGGTGAGCAAGAATATCAAGATTGGAACCGCGAGCATGAGATCGCGGCTGCTGCCATCCAGGACCGTGAAGATAAGCTGGAAGCAGTATCAGATATGATTGAACGTGATCTCACCCTTCTTGGAGGTACAGCTATTGAGGATCGACTGCAAGAGGGCGTGCCTGATACCATCGCACTTCTCGCCGAAGCCGGTATTAAGCTCTGGGTTCTTACTGGTGACAAAGTCGAGACCGCCATCAACATCGGGTTCTCGTGCAACTTACTCAACAATGACATGGAACTTATTGTCTTCAAGATTGAGGATGAACAGGTTTCTACCGCTGAAGCAGAACTTGACAAGCACTTGGCAGCTTTTAAACTCACCGGTTCCGACGCGGAGCTCAAAGCCGCCAAGAAGAACCACGAGCCACCGGCACCAACTCATGCTATTGTCATTGATGGCGACTCTCTTAAACTTGTTTTAGACGACTCATTGCGACAAAAATTCCTTCTCTTGTGTAAAGAGTGCAAGTCAGTTCTCTGTTGTCGAGTCAGTCCTGCTCAAAAAGCTGCAGTTGTGGCAATGGTCAAGGGCGGTTTGGACGTTATGACTTTGTCTATTGGTGATGGCGCAAATGATGTTGCTATGATCCAAGAGGCAGACGTTGGAGTTGGTATTGCTGGTGAAGAAGGAAGACAAGCTGTGATGTCCTCTGATTATGCTATTGGTCAATTCCGTTTCTTGCAGCGACTTGTGTTGGTCCATGGACGATGGTCATATCGCAGATTGGGAGAAACCATTGCCAACTTTTTCTACAAGAACGTCGTATGGACTTTTACAATTTTCTGGTATCAGATCTTCGCCAACTTCGACATGACATATCTTTACGATTACACTTACATCCTCTTGTTCAACTTGGCTTTTACATCCGTGCCTGTCATCTTCATGGGTGTTTTGGATCAAGATGTTTCAGACAAGGTCTCTCTTGCGGTTCCCCAGCTCTATAGACGAGGCATTGAGCGAAAAGAATGGACTCAAAAGAAGTTTTGGTAAGTATAAATGAATCCCGCTTTGACATCGACGACTAATATAGTGCAGGCTTTACATGGCCGATGGCTTGTACCAATCTGTCATAATTTTCTTCATGGCATATTGCTTGTTTGACTCTGGCACTTTTGTTACTTCAAGCGGCCAAAACATCGATGACCGAGAGCGATTTGGAGTTTACGTAGCACCTGCAGCCGTCGTCGCCATCAACGTATACATCCTAATCAATACCTATCGTTGGGATTGGCTCATGGTCCTTCTTGTCACCATAAGTATTCTCTTGGTTTGGTTTTGGACTGGCGTTTATTCATCTTTCACCTCGTCGGACTACTTCTACAAAGCCGCTGCCCAAATTTTCGCACAAGCCACCTTCTGGGCCGTCACCTGTCTTTCTGTAGTCATCGCCCTTTTACCACGATTTGCTATCAAGGCTGTGCAAAAAGTTTACTTCCCATACGACGTCGACATTATCCGCGAGCAAGTTCGCCAAGGCAAGTTTGATTATCTTGATAAGTCCGATGAGCGCATGGACACAATGTCCAAGGATGGTTCATCGGCATCTTCTTCTGAGATCACGAAGCCGAGTAAGCACATCCACTATCCGAGCATTGATGAAGACCAACGACCCATTTACCCTCCTTCAGTTGCTCCGACGAACACCACACACAATCCTCGAAGTCAAAACGGTAGCGACGGAACCGACTTTACAAGACATAGAGGTTCGATGGACCAACTTGGTCCTCGGGTCTCCGTTGACAGGCCACGACCCTCCTTCGATAGACTGCGAACGTCGTGCGATCGAGTTAGACCAAGTTTTGAGGCTAGTAACGACTTTACTTCGGCAGCCCTTTTAACACGCTTAGAATCAAGTCAATCATTTGGGCCGCTAAGAAGTAGGAGGAACGAAGACATTTCACAATGATACCCGAATATCATATTCACTCTTTTCCGAACCGGGAGACTGCGACGAACTGTACCATACATTTTCCTTTTCTTTTGTTGATACAGGAGATATTAAGCATAATGATCTGCAGGAGCGATCTACGACCTTTGTGTTCTACATTTGGTTTTCTTTTGCATTGGTGTTATAGGCGTTTTAAATGACATGAAAAGGCACTAGGCCATATTATCTTATTTTGTTTTTGCTTTCCAAGTTCTTTTTGCTGGCGAGGGCATGTTGGTTTTGGAAGATAGTTCTAGATCTTCACTTCTGATGGTGTATACTCAGCAGTGATAGTAGGATCCGTGGTCCATTTGTATATAGCGATTGCAAAGCAAACAAGTGCACAGAGCTTCAATATAGAGAGCAGTATAATCTAACTTATCATTTATATACCTTGATGATTGTTGTGACTTGGCCTGCCTTAAGCCACGAAAATTGTAGATTGTAGGATGATTGTACTGTCTCCATTTGTGATTTAATATGAGCTTCATTGGACTTCTGAAGTGCCTGGTGATGGTAGTATATGATGGTTTTGGAACTTAGATATTAAGTAACAACAAAATGTATGTACTATTCGCAAAAGAATGAATGTTCTTCGAATGATCTCAAGTACCCAGTCTTTATTCCCCTGTAAACCGATTGAGATAACAAATTCTCAGCCTTGCATGCGAGGCTACTGGTAAAATCAATCTAAGTAATCCACGTGAAATGGCTTTGGTCCTACGCGATGCGCGTTAGCACTTTCAATCTCAGCCCTTACCTCAACTTTTTTACTTTGTCGTATATAAAATACAGCAATTGGGTAAATGTTCTCGGAATTTGATTGCAACATCATACCGTATATCAACTCCACAAGTTTGATTGTTAATTTGCCAAAACTTGCGCTTCGTATTCACTTTCTTTAACGATTTCAAAACTTCAAAAGGCGACCACTTTCTTCCTTAGGGTGCTAAGACTCGCAGTACCTCCCAACTATTACCTTTCTATAAATTTATTCCTAATGCTTTCTGTAAACTACATTTATCCCTATCAATCTTGATTCTCTAAACATTCACATTTGAATCGCATGCTCAGCTTATGAAATATCCGCAACCATGCCTGATGAAGCAGATATCATGGACGAGCTCCACGGGCTCCACGGGTTTGTACCACGAGTTGTACTTATTTTTATGATTAATACTGATGAATTATTGATAGGGAACTGAAGAGTTTTCCTGTCGATGCCCATTGGTTTTGCCCCAAGCGGAACGACGAAGACTATGTCGACTATTCGCATCCAGATGACGCCGAGGAGGACATGAGTGCAGAAACCAAGAAGGAGCTCATACAGGATGCCCAGCGGAGACAGACTATTGCATATAAATTCTCTCTCACTATAGGATTAGATCGCGATGCTGGGGGGGCGATGGTAGAAGGCTACCTGGAACGTTTGAATAAGCTTCTGATGTGCTGTGATAAATGTGTGCATAGTTGGCATATAGGTCGTAAGGCATATCTCAAGGAACTATCAGAGTAATACATCACAGTATGCACTTGATCTTGATGCTAATATATCTCAGAAATTTCGACGATGAAACGGTTGCAGCGCTCTCAAGTCGCCTTAATGTCCTCGACTTTCAGCGTATAGATAACGGGTTAGAAAGAAGCAAGAAAGTTATATCCGAGGTGGAATCTCCAATGAGGACGCAGAAATTGCTAGCTGGCTACGACTCTTCCCTTCTACTGTCTCTGTACGAATCACTTTGTTGCGTCGATTACCACAAATCCGCAGACAACCTTTCGAAACACTTCGATTTCGTTTTTGAAGAGATACAAGCAAAGAAGGTCCTGAGAATAAGTGATATACTGCCAGCTACAGGGCGCTTTCTATTCGACAAAAACCCCATTAGACAGCGTTTCGCGAGGTGTGCCTGGCAGAAAGCTACTACAATGCTCACACCCACATCATTCGACTGGGTCGTGCATGACGCATTGTCGGACGCAATAGTTTCTGTGACCCAGGGAAACTACGATTACGAGGATATCATACGATTTTGGGAAGGATTTCTTTTGATTTTGGAGAAGCTTGATGAACATTTGATAACACACTCTCTCCGAGCAATGGAAGTTCAACCAAGTGTGTACATACTTGCACTCAATCACTTAAGTTGTAAATCGGAAAGAATCAATAAGTTAGTCATCGAAGCGCTTAGAAGTTTGCTCAAGAAGTCTCCGAAGAACTTCTGGGCTGCATTTGCTACAATATCACCAGTTGCCGTTGCAGAAAACATTCTACGATCTTGGGGCGTTAAAGAAAAACTGCAAACAATAAATTTTGAAGACCCCGAAACTTCTTTTATTCTGGCATGGTTACCTGAACTCGTGGAGTCACTTCCTTCCGATCGTCAATACGATGTCTGCAGTTTCGTTTTCAGATTTCTGGGAACTTATCAGACCTCGGAATACCCAGAGAATACCCAACTCGCATGTCGTTGTGCTGCACTCGATACTCTCCGTGCCACCTTGAACACCTTTGTCGATTCAGAGTACGTCATTAATCCGTCGACGTCTCTTATATTCATCAATAACATCATGAAACTCGTTGACGACTACAAGGAGACGATCACAGAGTCTGCTGATTTGAAGGTGGAAAACACCACACACCAAGAAATGAGAAGACTTGGTATGCTAGTCATACGAGATGCTTTGGCTCTCGACTGCAAAGCTTTGAGCGCAGAGTTCCAAGCTCTTGCGGACGATATCCCGATACAACAGGGTCTCCGAAGCCATTCCCAGCCAATTTGGCAAGGCGTTCTTGACATATTTAGGCCAGGAAATGTAGATTTAGCTAAAAGCATTCTGGCGGCAACAACACACCTTACTGGATTAGATGAACTCACACCAAAGTCAAAGAAACTACCACTTCCTTCCTCTCATCTACAGTATAATAAAGACTTTCGTCAACTCACTGAGAACGTGTCTAGAATCTTTGAGCGCCTCAGCGATTTTAATGCATCTCATTTGATCGAGATGTATCGAGATCCTCAGACCTCTCGGCCACTGTTTGCAGCCCTGATGTCTGCTGATCAACAGATCTTTGAGGCTGCTGTTGAGGTTGTCAAAGCTGCAACGGATCAAATAAGCAAGCGTGAAGCAATATCGAGCTTATTAGGGCAAGCATTTGTGCCGATGTTGAATTCTTTAACGTTTGCTGTTGTCCGGATCACCAAAGCCAAGAACTTTTCCCCTGTCCCATATTTATTCAAGGTTGGACGAGACACGCTGGAGGCCCTTTGCGGAGACACGACGGGGTTTTTACGAACTCACCCATCTTTAGATTCTACAGAGCGAGGCGCTGTAATGTCTTGGTGGATCAATCAGTGGCGTGCCCTTGATGCGGCATTTGCCAACACTGAAGCTTGGGGAGGTCGTGTTCAACTTCCTAAGGAAACCTTGCAAGACTTTTGCCGAGATGGTATGGAATATGCAGAATCCTTGTTTGATAAGAACAGTATCATTGCTTCAGCCCTATGCGAGTCTTCTAACTCGTCTCATGCTCATATCCCGTCCTCCGGTTATATATCGAGGAAGGCTGCACATAAGAAAGTATTGCAAGTCGTTTGCTTGAACGTGAACGGCCTAACAATGATGCTGAGGTTGAGAGATATCTATTTGGTCAGTGTGATCACTAGTCTCCTCGGAAAACTTCTTCGATCATTAGCAGAGTTTGATGTTGAGGTACATGAGTATTCGCTTAGTTTTATTCAAGATGCGTGCTTAAATGAGGGCGAGAAGGGATACAGAAAGACAAATCTTACTAACCAACAAAAAGCTGAGTTGCGCGCTGCCCTTGACGAACATAAAGGTGTGGAAATTATAGAGAGTTATTCTACAACGGCTCAGAAACAACAATCAAGAATCGATTCTTGGTCTAAGTCAGCAGGAGGTGTAAAGCATGAGCCAACGTTCAGTGTCAAAGGGCGTCAAACTCAAACCTCGCTCGATACTTGGTCAAAGGCTGGAGACGGCAAAACATATGAGCCAGTCATCACTCAATCCAACAAAGCCTCTCCCTTTACCCTTTCTGAGCATTCTAAGAGTATTATGGATAAAATGAGATCACAACCACCGCTAAAGACCGCCAAAGCTACTGAAGATTGGAAGGACAAACGCCGTAGAGATGAAGAAGAGAAAAAGAAGCGTAATGCGGCAGCAATTGCTCAAGCGAAAGCCCTTCGTGCTCCAGCCGCCTTAGTGAAGGGTGAGGGATCTGGTCTAAAGAATCTCAGCGGTGTAGCTGGGAAAGATCATGCGCCTGTTCGAAGTGAGATAATGGTAGGATCTTCAGACGAAGATTCGGATGATGATGATGACGACGATGGTTCCGACACGAAGTTTCTTTTCACTAAAAGTCGAGAAGCTTCAAACAAAGTTAGAGAATACGAAGAGAGTAGGAAAAAGGCACTTCTACAATCTACTGGCCCAGTGCGGAAGACCAAAAAGGTTTACTCAAAGAAAGATCTTCGTGCTCGCTTGGAGCCAAATATGGACATTATATATCTCGAGCTTCTCAATTGGGATATCTTTCATGAGGGAGAGGATCCCCCAAGCAATAATGTTTGCAAAAAGATTGCAAACAGCTTCCTCGACCTCGGTCTCTATAAAGAGACATTCAAACCATTGCTCATATCGGAAGTTTGGCGCTCTTTACTAACAGCAAAAGAAGAAAATCAATTTAAGCCCATTGAGATAAAGGTTTTGAATCGTTTGTCTGTTGATAAATTCATGGAAGTTAGTACAACTATGTCAATTTCCAATCAAAGAGACCTCATGGTGTACCAACAAGATATTGTACTCCTTTCCAAAAGCTCGAGTCCACTTCAAGACAAGCAAGCGCCACATTGTCTAGCACGCGTTTTCAGGACCACCCGCAAGCGTGATGCAGTGGAAGTCACTTACAGAGTCAGTAGAGACATTAGCCCCGAGCTCTTGAATTGTTTCGTGCCCAACGGCAAGTTATATACTCTCAAAATCACCGATATGACGACAACTTTGCGAGAGTTTGCAGCCTTGAGCAGTCTTGAATACTACGACTTGTGCACAGAAATTCTGGAGGCGAAGCCTTCTCCTTTACAGAAATATTCCGATGAAAAGGTCGCTTCGATGTCGACCAGGTATAAACTTAACAATGGGCAAGCCAAAGCGATTTTGTCCGCCAACGACAATGATGGGTTTACATTGATTCAAGGGTATGTATTGAATTTTGTTCTACTCCAAGTTATATTGCTCTAACAGTACTAGTCCTCCGGGTTCTGGAAAGACGAAAACGATTATCGCCATGGTAGGCGCGTTGCTATCTCAGGTGCTTCAGCAGCAAGCACAGCAAGTGGGCTTCAGACCGCAAGGCCAAAATCGCAGTGCGGGCCCTCAAGCACAAGCACCAAAGAAAAAGCTACTTATCTGCGCTCCCAGTAACGCGGCTGTTGATGAATTGGTCCTCAGGTTGAAGGAGGGAATTTTGCCT